CATCCTTCTGCTGTACCGACTGTCATGCTCATTACGGCGACAATAGCAAGTAATTCTATAAGTTCCGATGCTCGGATTTGCTGTCGTCTTCGTGCTCGTTGTAAAGGTCGGCACCCACTGCGAACAATGCTCCTGATGCCGTTCCACAAAAGGCGTAATGCGATCCGACATGGCTTCCCGAGCGTGAGCGGCACATAGCAGAATACGTAGCATCCAGTTATGAAGAAGTAGATGGCTATTGTAGTCGCTACGATCGCTCCAACAGGCCAGCATTCAGGACTGAAAATGACCGCTGAACAGAGTATGCAATCGATCTGGTCGCAGAACGGAGTTGGCGGGCAGGTAGTTTCTATTATCCTGATCGTTTCATTGTACAGAAGTTTCCACTGGACAAACTGTTCATAGAGCATTACTTGTGGCGGAAAATGGATAGTTTCATTTGTCTTTGGCGCTGAGATTGATTTGCAATAGTCTTCCGCACAGACCTCATATGGGACAGTTTCCTTGGAAAGCAACTCAACTCCTCCTGGAATGCATTTAATTGAATGTGTTTTCTTCGCTAGTACCTTCGCCAATGCATTCGCATTTCCGCAAAATGCACTCAGAAGACAGATCAGTAGGAGCGCGTTCGTCTGGAAGTGTTTGACTTGTATTGGCATCGCGTTCATTCCTTTGTAATCCATCCTCCGGTGAGGTCGCAGATCATATCGCGAGGGGTGTGCTTCCTCTTGTTCATTGCTACTGTCGGTACTTGCAGTAGTGGGTTCTTGCGCTTGTTGATCCCCCTCTTCTAATTCTAGTGGTACAAGAAGGTTAAGCGGCCGGCGAATCCTTCTTTGAGATGGAAGTTTCACCAGAGCTTCTCTCACAACTCCTTCGGTGTTTTTGACAAGTTCTTCTATCCGTCCGACTTTCCAGGCATATCTTGGCTGGACTGGATCACACAGCAAGACAACTTCGCCGACCTTCGGAGTATAGCTCGAACTTCTTTGACTTCCTACTTGACGTTGATGTTTTTCTCGGAGGGCTGTCAAATAGTGATCGCCACAGCTGCCAAAATTTCTCGGTCAGTTTGCAAGAAGATTGCAAGGCTTGGACTGCTTGCGCCTTTGTACGAAGCAAGGCTTTCTCAGCTGGTGGCAAGTAAGACGGATCCTCTTCTTCATCATTTACCGCATCCAGTGGATAAGAGGTCCTCATCTCATTTTGTAAGAAGTCGATCGGCCTTGATATCTTTTCGTTTGCGAATTCAGATTCCACGTATAACAGGGGTCTCGTGTTCAGGATCGCTTCGATCTCAATGGTAACCGTAGTTAGCTCTTCGAAGCTTAGCACGCATTTGCCCAGAGTTTTGTACAGTGTTTGCTTTACGGACTTTATCAGACGTTCGTAGAAGCCTCCTTGCCACGGTGCGTATGAAGTGTTGTAATGCCATTCAATTTCCTTGTCGAGTACTTCACGCTCAATAGCAGGATCGCTTTCGGCAGCTTGAATCGCTTCTCTGAGTATAGTTTCTCCTAGCATGAACGTGGGAGCGTTATCACTGGTGATTGATCGTGGAACTCCCCTTCTTGCAAAGAAGCGCCGCAACATCCAGAGGAAGGCTGTTGTCGACATGTCGGAAACTATGTCCAGATGGATTAATCTTGTGGTCATGCACGTGATTATGCTTCCGTAACATTTACCATCTGTTCTATCAGGTAGTGCAATTGGCAAGGGTCCGTAGTAGTCCAATCCGACATGCTCAAATGGTCTAGATTTCTGCACTCGTCTTGCAGGAAGATCCGTTTGCTCTGGATACTTGTAAGGCAGATTGTTGAACTTTTGGCAGGGTATACATCGCCTCACAAACCGCGTGACCTTGCTCGCAGTTTTGGTATCCAATACTGTCGACGTATGTTCGCCATAGTATGGCTTACGGATAGATGCCCTCTGCCGTGGCAGTCGTCGATGATTCTTTCCGCCAACATCGAGTTTTGTAGGATGATCAACGGAATTTTGGCTTCATCATCTAGGTCGCTGTTTCCCAGTCGTCCATAACATCGAAGGAGGCCTTCGGCATCTTTTTTGATGTTCAGTTGCTGCATGGAGTTAATGACTTTTGAGGTTATTTGCTGTTGATGAAGTCTGATGAGCAGCTTTCCTGCGATAAGTATCTCCTTTCCGTTTAGCCTTGTTCCCACAGCGTTATTCGGTGCGGAAAGTAGCGTAGATAATAATATGGGTGACTGGTTGTTGGTATTTGCCTGTCCTACAACGTTCCTGACGAAGCGAAGGATCCAGGCTACAATGCGCCTTGTTTGCTGCCATGTGCGTCGCTGCAGCAATGACAGTACTGCCGTGTCTCCCTCGCTTTGGCACTCTTCGGCAGTTCTAGTTGCAAGAACTTGTTTTTCCTTCACTGAGACTTCCTCTCCGTCCCTGACGGTGCTTTCCATTGTAACGTGCCAATCGCTTTGTGACCATTGCTGCTGTGGATTTTGGAGAAATTCCGGACCTGTCCACCACATGTGGTTTTGCAGTTCTTCGAGATTTAGTGCTCTTGTGCCTGCGTCTGCTGGATTATCTTCGGACGTGACGTAGTGGAAATGAATTGTGTATCCCTGGTCATTGAGATGCTTCAAAATCTTGTTTATCTCAAGCAGCCTTCGGAATGTCACTGGTCCAACGTCCTTCAAAGGGTTCTTTCTTATCCAGCTTAGCACGATCTCTGAGTCAGAAAATACGAAGACTTGATTGACTTGTAGCACTGATTGCAATTGTGTTAAGATTGAATTCGTTATCCGTAACGCTAACGTCACTGCATCCAATTCCCGTTTTGGTATAGTCGATTTTCCTCTGAGTGAAGGGAGTTTCCCTTTTGCCATCAAAAGTTGCGTGGAATTGGATCCTAACCGTAGATAACTGCATGCTGCGATAGCTTCCTCGCTTGCGTCTGCGAACGTTATAAGAATAGCATCCGTCATTCTTGTACAGACGAAGCGTGGCAGAGTTCTTGTAAAACCATGCATGGTTTTGCAAATCTTCTTCCATTTCTTGTGGAGGTCAGGCGGCAAGGGCGTATCCCAGTCACAATTCATCTGCCATAGCTCTCGCAAGAAAAGCTTTGCTTTGTGCATCAAAGGAAGCATCCATCCCATTGGGTCGTAAACTGAAGCAATCATGCTGGCTACCTTTCTTTTAGATACCTCCGAATGATCTTCCATTGCACATGAAAATTCTATGGTGTCATCGCGGGAGTTCCACCTGATACCCAGGACTTTGGGCTTGATTTCCGAAGATGCGTCTTTCGTGTCGAATTTTGATGCGACGTTAACATTGTTGGTCACGTACTCACGGAGATTTATCTTCAGATCGTTGAATATTCTTTTGGTTCGTTGGTAAATATGATTCGCCTCTTCTTCGGTGTCAGCCGTCATCATCAGATTATCGACGTACATGTTTTCTTTGATCTCCGTTGTGAGAAGCAGATCTTCGGGATATTGGTCGAGGTGAAAATGTGTCGTCGCTGCTAGTAAAAAGGGTGACGTGACGAGGCCGAAGGTGACACGTGTGAAGCGGAGAGTCTTGATATTTTCGGGGTTAGGTGGAGATCTGTGGTTCCGTAGCCATAGGCATCTGGTCGCATCTCTATCAGCTTCATGAAGTCGTACTTGCAGAAATGCTTTTTCCACGTCCGAAATCATTGCGATTTTTCCTATTCGGAAACGTAACAGGATGCCATACAGTTGTGGAAGTATGACTGGCCCTCTGTGCAACACATCATTCAGCGATGGTGAGGCTTTGTAGTGCGCTGAAGCATCAAATACGATCCGCAATTTTGTAGTCGTTTTCTGCGGGGTAATCACTGCCTGGTGGGAAGACATAATGAATGTGTTCTCCCAAAGCGACGGAGTCTTCTAGTATTTCTTCCAGTATGTTTGCTTTGAGTTGTTCTTCGAAGACTTCGTTGTACTGTTCCAGCAGTTTTTCGTCCTTCCGCAAAGTGTTCCAAACGCTTTCTAGTCTTCGCAGTGCGATGGCCTTGTTGTCCGGGAGCTCAAATGGTATTGACTTCCATGGTAAGCGCACGTAGTAACCATCTTCTCTTTTTTCGATGGTGTCCTTGAATTGGTTCCAAACCTGCTGATCGATTTTTTCTTGTGCCACTTTTTCGGAGCTCATGGATTCTTCTGTTCCTGCGAACTCCATGACGAGATACTTTTCAAAGGAGTCTTCGTCCTCGCCTGATTGTGTTGTAGGCGTCTGCACCGTTAGTATTGTGATTTTGCTATCCATTGTGCACGCAGCTTCCCACTTTGCCGTCTCGTCTTTCTGAAGTAACTTTTCTTGGGGCCTTGTGACCGTGCCTGTGACCAAGTTCCCTAGACGAGTAGACAGTAGGTAAAGTCCTGATGGCAGGCAGACGCTTGGCTGATTCTCCTTGATCGATGGCCATAACTGATCGCAACCTAATAAAATTCTTGGTTGTATTGTTGTGTCGTTCTGCCAATCTGTCCTCGGAATGTTCTGCGCTTTCATGTATTCCAGGTCTTCTTGTTCCCATGGTGCGCAATCTAGTGGCGCGGTCAGTACATCATGAGTGAAGAGATTCAGATCGAGAGTGTGTCCTTCTGAATCCCATCCTTGGAGGAGCACGCGCCTGCATAGATATTCCTTCACTTCTTCTGTGCCAAAGGTGTGAATGGGGAGCCTCGTAGTCTCGATTGTGGGAAGTTCCAGTTCATTCGCCAAAGAGCTTTCAATGAAAGACACCTCTGCTCCGCTGTCCAAAAGCACTCCAACTTTTTTCAGCGCCTTCGTAGTGGGATTCATCACTGTAAGTACTCCTGCAGGAAGGAAGGTTCTGTTCGACTTTCGACCTTTGTGTACTGGTTGCAATTCCAGTGCAGACACAGCTTCAGTTTCGGAGTTGTCTTCATGGAGGGCGTTTACCTGTCTTGCTTCTTTATGCGTTGGGTTTCGTTCCGTATCTCGGGCTTTGGGTTTTTTCCCTTCGCTCAACGGTGGACTTCTCTTCCTTGACGCTCCTTGGTCTGCCGTAGTGTCACCTCTGAAACAGCATGATGTGTGGTGTGGTCCTCCACACCTGAAGCACATTCTCTTCTTGCAATTAGCAGTTGAATGCTGTGCTGAGGCGCATATAAGACAGAGCTTGTTCTCGCGTAGGTAGTTGGAGCGTTCTTGTGGAGTACTGTATCTTTTGCAATCGGCTGACTTGTGGCTTCCCTCACAATACATGCAAGTACCTAAGTACGTTTTTGTTCGGTCAGATCGTTTTTTCTCCGGCTTAGTAGGTGTTGGGTCCGGCTTGGTGTTCTTCATGTATACCGCAAGCATTTCGTCTGTGGAGATTTCTTCCTCAAGATACTGTATAAGCAGGTCGAAGTTGAAGCTGACTCCAGAGTTCTTTGCGGCTTGTTTGCGTACTAGTACTTTGCGCTGTACCGTATCCGGGAATTTCGTCAGAACTTGCTGGTACATCCACTGGTTGTCCACTTGTACTTCTTTCTGTCGCAGCTGCATGATGATGACTTGCAGCTGCTCGAAGAGTGTTCGCTGGTCACGAATGGATGCCGAGTGCAGGTGGCACTTCCCGAGTTTTTCAATAAGATGCGTGACGAGTTCGTCGCGATCACCGTACTTGTGTTGAAGAAACTCGACGGCTTTTGAATAATTTCCTTTGGCGACTTGGAACTTCTTGATTAGTGCGAGAGCATCTCCTCGAAGAGCTTGCAGTAAATAATTGAATTTGCACAACTCCGGTATATTTCTTGAATGGACATTCTCGTTGAACAGTTCCCAGAAATTGTCCCACTCCCATATGTTTCCTTGAAATATAGGTACGGGAAGTGTGGGAAGATCCAACCTTATGCGAAGGCTGTGATGGCGTTGGTACCTGGACTGATCCACTGTGTTGGTTGTGCTCTGGCTCTGCTTTAACTACAGTGAAAGCGTGAACCCTTGCGTTCAGCACTAATGAGTAATCCGTGGCCGAAATGAGCGCTTTTTCCGCTTTTGCTGAGTATTCCTCAAAGTCTTGTTTGTCCTTTTCCGTCGGGTAGTCCAGCTCCGTAAATTTGGTAGCATAGTCCATCATTGTTTGTTTGATGTTGTGCGTCACTGCATCTAAAGCTCCTATTGCTTCGCTGAGTCGCTGGAGACTTTCCCTTGTGTACTGAGAAGCTGATTCTCCTTGCGCTGCGGCTACGTTAAGGGTCTCAAGTTCCTCTCCCTTGAATCTTGAGATGATAGTGTCCAGCTTGTTGCAATAGTGAGTCAAAAGGCGTTTGTCCGTGATCAAATGTGCAGCCATAATTAATTGCAGTGACCAAGAATGCTTCAGGACAGACACGAAAAGTTTTCAGACTTCAGTAGATATGATACTTGAGGAGTGGTCAGTCTTGTGCGAAAAATTCTTCAATTTGTCGATACTGATGTGCCAAGAGCGGATCAGGCAAAAATTCTTGTGCTGTTCCGAGATTTGAAGACAGCAAACTAGAGCGGATACAGCAAAAGCTCTAGTGTATGTTCCAGAATGTCCACAACGAATCAATTGTTGTACTTTACCGACCTGAATCCGTGTAGTCGATGCACCATGTAACAAATGGACGGGTTATATATATAGTCAGTATTATGACCGTCGAATACCACTAGACAAAGACACCAAAATATCAACTGCCACGCGGGTCTTTAGTGTGACGGAGTTGTGCTCGAGGAGATACCTCAAACTTGGGTAATTAAACCTTTATCGACAAATATAAACATTAAACAAACGATATTTCAAGCGAATATACTACCAGCATATTATGAGATTCTGATTATGGCACACGTTAGGCATAAAATGATTGATATGTTTTAGTCTAACTGAGCTGAAAGCAAATAAAGGCAATGTAAGTGAGAGTAACTATAAGGCACGGCTAAATGAGCTGAAACGATGATAACTAAATGACACTTAAGTCAAGAATGCGAAGAGGAGGTCGCCAGCTGCGACGACCATCCTTTTTTGCTAGATGCTTGGCGCAGCTGCAGCCGTACAAAGAAAGGACTGGCCGCGCACTCAACATTTCATGGCAATCAAAAGTCAATAATCGTAACAGAAATTATAGAATTTATCGGTCGAGTTTCTCGACACCACCCTTGCCACTGGAAATCGTCTCCAGAACAACGCGGTATGCTAACTCTTGATCCTCCGTGAGGAGGGGTCTGTTGAACTCTACAAATCTGACAGCTGACCGATACCATAGAATTTCTCTCGGAGAACATCGCTCTTAAGTGCTTGATCATCTCCGCGTATTGGTGACGGCAAACCAGGATCCTTAAGGCTTTGACCGGTCATCGACTGCACGTGTCCTCAAGAAGTATAAACATCTCGGGAGATTAGTCGATGTCTGCAGAGGGTGCTGCTCTGCAACAATCTCTGAGTATATCTTCACTCAGAGCTTCCTTGTACTTTTTCTAAAGTGCTTGAGGATTTGATGGTTGACAGGCCGTCAAGATGGTAGCGATGAGACTTCTTAGCTGAGTAGCGAAGCCTGTCGCAGATGCCTCCTCGAGCGTCCGGTCCCATTGCTGATAATCCTTAAGCAAGTCAAGTCTTCGGCATGCTTCTCTGTAGGTCTCACAAACTTCTCCGTCGATGGTCCTTAATGCTGCGAATGACCTTGGTCCTCGGATTGTGTGAAGCAACAATCTGAGGTAGAAGCACTCGGCGTGCTTAGGGTGTACAGTATATACACGTCCTAAGCAGAGATGCGATAGTGGGAGCCGATTCTCCCCCTACCTTCACTTTTGAGCTGGTACAGGGTGACCACCTTTACTTTTGGAATAAAAAATTCAAAGCTGAACGATTAAGAACGAAAATAAGCAAAACAAACGCAAAAAAGGTTATTGGAAGCATATTTTTTATGTATACGGCGGCATATATATTTAAATAAAGGTGTTTTAAATGGTGTATTTGGATTTAAAAGATAGCGGAACTGCACGGATTTTATTGAGTAAATTTTGTCATAACGTACTGGAAGAAAGTAGGTCGATTCAGGCAGTAACCGCCGGGAACCAGAATTTCGAATGATAAAATAACGATAAATTATGCGAAATTCACTTTTATAAATCTTGCGGTTAAAGATGTCAGCAATTGCGACTTCACAGGTTTCACAGAGTAAGTGATGTTCTACCAGGTTGTGAAAGAATCATTTTGATTTGAGAGGTGGTCGCCGAGAGACAAAATTTCAAAAAATTAGGCCATTTTAGGTTGCTAGGTGACAGCTGATAGTTAAACTCATATAAATCTTGAATGTGAAGGTGTGTAATGTTGACACTTCAAAGCCTTTGTAGAGTAAGGACTGCATTATCAAAATATGTCTTAACCATACCGATTCATTAGAACAACGCCGAGATCCAGGGTCTTGAAAAAGCAGGTAAAAAAGGTTTTTGAACTTCAACAGCTCGTAACTTCTTCAAAATTGCATGAGTCATGTTGCGACTTCATAGGTTAGATTCTTCTCATCAAGAGCTTTCAGATGATATAGAAAATGTGGTTTAGGGCTTCCCAACTTATACTCGTGAGGGGGGAGAATTTTCATCACAAACTCTCTCCCAGCCCACTTTAATGTATATTGGATGGAGGCCGCCGGGGGAATTTGTGATGAAAAGTCTCCCCACCCCCCACAAGCTTGAGTCGTAGGAGGCCCTAAATCCCCACATATTTTACATCATCTGAGCGCTCTTGATGAGAAGAACCTAACTTATGAAGTCGCAACATGATTCATGCAGTTCTCAAGAAGTTATGAGCTGTCAAAGTTGAGGAAGCGCTTTTTTACCTGCTTTTTCAAGACCTTGGATCTCGGCGCTGTTTTCAGTGGATTGGTAAGGTCAAGATATATTCTGACAAGGCAAATCTCGCTTTATAAAAACCTATCGCAACATCACACGCTTTCACATTCAAGATTTGTATTAGGTCGTTTCAAAAATAATTCCGCTTTCTTCAAACAGTCACCACATTTGATGGAACAAAGGTTTTTAAGAGATTCTAGAAGCATTCGATGCAGAAATTCATTCTCTTTCTAACGATAATTGAATTGTTGCAAAGCAGTCAATGAGCTTTCAGAAAATATCCAAAATCTGCGAAACATGCTTTTTGAGATGGTCAAGTTTCACGATTTTTCAAAACTTTCATATCAGTCCTCAGAAGAAGTTCAAGTAACGATTCGATAGAGTAAACCTCATAGAATACAGTTCTACTTTTTTTTCTTTCTCGTAGCTCGCCGTAATTTTTTAAAAGATTCTTTAACAGAACCATCGGATTTTGGCAGGCCCACCTCAGCCACAATCGCATCAAACATCATAATTTTTCGGAATTTGAGACTACCAAGATGGTACTATGAGTTAGCATTAATTTTACAAAACAAGTGAAGGTTTACGGATTCGAAATATCAAATTTCGAGTTTTTCGGGTATAGCCTGGGGCTCGCTAAAAAAATGAGTTATGATGACTTTTCCCCGGAAACTAAACGATTTGGAAACAAAAAACACCCGTTAGATAGAGGAGAAAATGCTGCATCGAATAGTGTGCGAGCTGCTCTTCTGTTGATGTTCTACGAGGATTTAGCTTTCCAAGTATGGAAATCGGTAGCATCAGTTAAAATTCTGTTAAAAAGGTATGACAAGCTATGGAAAGGAGAAAAAAGTAGTACTGTATTTCATAAGGTTTGCTCTAACGAATCGTTACCTAAACTCCTTCTGAGGATCGATATGAAAGTTTTAAAAAATTGTGAAACTTGACCATCTCAAAAAACATGAGTCGCAGATTTTGGATATTTTCTGAAAGCTCATTGACTGTTTTGCAACAATTTCATAAACATTAGAAAGAGAATGAAATTCTGCATCGAATGCTTCCAAGATCTCTTAGAAACCTTTGTTCCATCAAATGTGGCACCCGTTTGAAAAAAGCGAAACTACTTTTGAAACGACCTAATATGAGTACCTGTCAGCTGTCAATAAACCCGCTAAAATGGCGTACCTTTTTAGAATTCTGGTTTTCGTCGACTATCTTTTAAGTCGACTCGATTTTTTCACTATGAGCACCATTTACTCTTCAAAACCTAGGAAGTCGCAATTGTTGACATCTTCAAACTCCAGATTTATAACAGTGGAAATTTCGCATGATTTATCGTTATTTTATCACACGGAATTCTGGTTCTCGGCGGTTACTGCCTGGATCGAGCTACTTTCTTTGCAGTACGTTATGACAAAATTTACTTAAGAAAATCCGTACAGTTCCGCTAACTTTTACTTCCAGATACACCATTTACTAAACACGTTTATTTCAAATATTTGTGCTGCTATGTTCATCGTATCTGTGGCCCTGAAGAGGGCCGTTGGGTCACAGCTCGACCTAGAATGATAACTCAGTTCGTCCGTCTTTCCGCCTCCCTTTCCCCTACCCTCGCCCTCCGATCGACGTTTTTGGGAGGTGAGTGTCCGGCACTACCACCTTCACTTTTGGTGGGCCTGGCTCCCCCATCGCACCTCTGGTTCAGTTTTCTCACTGCAGTGTTCGCCTGAAAAATCAGCCTCAAAAACCTTGTAAATTTCTAAAGGTATCACTTCTGACCCTGCCTGCCTTTTGTTAGGGTTATAGTTTCTGTTGTGAACGTACCTTGAGGTAAAGGTATCAGGTTTGATGAATAGGGATTTATCGCTGATAAGGCTACTTTGAGGTAGAATTTACCTCAAGGTATCATTCTTTCCACATGAAATCATTCTCAAGGTTGATTTAACCGTGAGAATTTACCTCAAGGTACATTGATGAATACGGGTTTTGAGTGATAATCCTACCTGTGGCCGTATTCATCAACGAACCCCGAGGGTTAAACTAACCCTGGAGGGTTAGTTTAACCCCGGAAAGCGTTTAACCCGTATTCATGAAACACCGGGTAGGCTTAACCCTGAGGGTTAAATCTAACCTTTAGGGTTAATTTTACCCCGAAAGCGACTAACCCGTATTCATCAACGAACCGTGAGGGTTACACTAACCCTGGAGGGTTAAACTTATGTGATTCATCAGGGTTGATTTAACCCTAGCTCAGAGCAAGGTTAA